TTATTACTACTGACATAAAACATGATATTAAGATATTGGTAATTTATTATTTTATGTTGTTTTTTCTCTTCATTTTTATGACCAAATACTTTTAAGCAATTATATTTATCATAAAAAATGTCTTATTACTCTTCTGAGGTTGGATTTAAATATATTTCAATAATATAATTAGATCAATACTATTAACCTATTTCGATTTTATAATGTACATTGGAAATCACACACTAATGAGGGTGTACAAAGGTTTTTTTAAAGTGTTTATCAGCGAAAATCTTTTGTTATAAAAATTCCAGCAACATGAATTGACAAAATTACATATCTCCACAAATTTGTATCTTAGGTAACACCAATATCTATCCGCTTTATTAACATGTCCTGCCTAAGCATTTCCCCATAGGTCTTATTTGGTCTTCCTGTCCTACTCATCTCCCAGGAGCCTACAAATCAGCAATTCTTCATATTTTGTGATTAACATGAACATTACCAAACCATCTTAACATATTTATGTTCTCTCATTTTGGCATCAATTGGTCATCTCTCATTTGGCATCATTCAGTAGACATCCATTAATATATTCACTCTTAATGTTATCCTTTTTTGTCACTCATCAAAGCATTCTCATTTCCACCACATGCATATGATGTTCATCTTTTTTTAACTGCCTACATTCAGTTCCTTACATCACAGCCAGTCTTATGGCTGTTTTATAGAATTTTCTTTTCACCTTCATTGGAATCTTTCTGTCATACAGAACACCACTGACTTCCTCTGTAATACCAATCCTAGGTTCTTACAATTCTTACTTTTCAGTCATTTCACCATCCAAAGATATCATTATATTTGTAGTAACTCCATATTTAAATGTACATTCCAAATATATATCTGTTTTTGTCTCACTAAGTTTTAAACCCTTTTCCTCAAGAGCTTTCAAGCTTTTGTTATAAATTGTTTTCACTATTTCCCACTAATACTACCCCATCACCATATTGTATTTGTAGTAACTCCATATTTAAATGACATTCCAAATATATCTCTGTTTTTGTCTCACTAAGTTTTAAACCTTTCCCTCAAGAGCTTGTCTCAAGCTTCTGTTCTAAATTGTTTTCACTATTTCCCACTAATACGGTACATTATGCCACAGGGAATATTATTCTGTTGTTTCACTATTATCTGATCCAACACTAATGATAATAAATAATTACTAAGTACAATAATCTACGTGATTGGTATCAATGCAGATCAATTGATTTGTTTAGAGCAGCAAGTTCTAAAATAAAAATAGCCATTATGATTGCCAACCTCCAGCTCCATAGGGAGACGGCACTCTAAGAAGAAGAAAGAAGTACAATAAATAGACAGGTACTAACATACTACTTCTCAATTTGTCTGATATTTGTCCCATTTCCAGAATTCTATTAAATAAAACTGTTAGCCAACTTGTTGGTGTCTCTCCTAATGCTGTCTGCACTTCCCCAGGAGTATCATATGGTCCAACTGATTTTCCTTTCTTTATTTTTTTTCAATGCTTGAACCACTTATTTTTTTGTTATTTTGGTGATCATTGCTGTTACTGTAACTATTGACAACCTATTAACATACATGAATTGACAACTATTTCCATATATGTATTTAAACAAGCTCAAGCAAATACAACATTGATCTCTATTTATTAAATGAAATTTAAATAGCTATCAACTACTATGGGGCATCATTGTTCCTACTAGCATAATCCACAAGTAATACTCCTTTTCATAGTTGTGGTTACCTATTTATCAATAATTTATTAATGAAATATTTAAAAGTATTCCAGTATATATACATATTTTGAATTTGCTATTACCATGTCCTTATTTATAATACATCTTACATTAACTAGGTACATCAATTTTCACACAATACTTTCTAAATGTAAAACAAGAGTCTAAAATGTAAATCTGAATGATTTCTTTTATGATAATCTGATAATGCTGTGTTTGAAGTAAAATATTAAATTTTTGTCTAATCTTTTATTTCTTGTAAGTTGTAATCTACTTTTTGTGTACTCATGTGTTTCCCCTTCTAAGAAATCATGTTTATAATCATCAAATATTCATTATCAAATATTGCTGGCCTGCCTTCAAGCCCAAATAGATATACTGTTCATATACAAAACTACTAGTTCAAGTTTAGGGTGTATTTATAATGTAAGATTTCAGTAATTGTAGTATTATTTACTGTTTTATTAAATTTGTTAATGTGATCTCCATATCCAACTTTACTGAAGATTGAATAAGATTATATATTTTATATCCAGTAAAATATGGCCATCTGGCCAATGTAAAATAAACTTAAATATTTTGGAGCATATTAAATATGCTCCAAAATATTTAAGTTTTGTTTTGTTTAAGTTTATTTTACATTGGCCAGATGGCCATAATTTATTAATTATGTTACTTAAATTTATATTAAATAATACATTTTCATCTGAAAATCACCAGAAAGATATTCATAGACTACAAAAGCCAAAAATTCATGCCAATCTAATACTCAAGCTCTTATACAAATTAATCAATAAAAAAAGACTCAATTCTAAAACTAATAAAACTAAAATCCCAGGCTAAGGTTAGAAAGAAGACATTGTTACATAAAGAAACATTGGGGTATCAATCATGTAACATTAGCTGTGGAAGACAGTTATGTAACCCCTAGCAATGTTCAATCAGGATAACATTTTCCTGTACTATTCTCTTAGATTATTTGTATTCTAAAGTTTACTACTGGTTCCAAATAGGTGAATCTTGTTGAAGTTGAAGACCTAGCAGGATGGGTAAATGTAGGGAATATGTACATTAAAGATTGGTTATACTGTATACTGGATATTCCAAACAGATAGTAATATATAATACAGAAAAGATATAAAAATGCAAAAACAGGATTTTAATATTTTGTAAATAAAATGGGTATAATTTGAAATATTTCATATATGGTACCTATCTAAAAAGTTGAATTATTTCATATTATATTGCTTCTAATTTACAACAGCAAATAAAAAGTAGTATGATTCATCAACCTTGATAATTACCTGACAATGTCAAATAAATCCATAAAAGTGTTATAGCTTGTTTATACTACTTAAATGTAATTATTTCTTACAATGATGTAATATTGAGCAAATTAATTAAACACAGGAGAGTGTAGCCTGTAGCATGTTATAAGTGCTTTGAACTTCTTGCTCTAGTAACTTTAATACATCTTATTTTCCAATAATTTTTGCCAAGTATATAAAAAAAGACAGAAAAAAGAACTTACCTAGGCCCATTTTACAGAATATAGCTGCTGCATCCGTAGGAGCAATTTTAGCAGGAGTAACTACTGGTTTTTCTTCCACTTTTTTGATTATTTTTTCAGGTTTTTCTTCCACTTTTTTGACAATTTTTTCTGGTTCTGTTTTCTTCTCTGGAGCTGAAACTGTAGCGGGAGCAGATGGTATAATTTTCTCTGGTTGCGGTTTTGGAGGTGCAGGTTGTACCGGTACAATTGGTTCCTTACTAATTTCAGGAACTAATGGAGGTACATCTGACTTAAATGCATCTTCAAAAATCTCATGTTTGACAGTTTCTTTAGGTTTAACCGGTTCAGGATGCTCTTGTTCGAAATCTAAGAAGTGATCAACTTCTTTTTTCTCGGGTTCAATGAATTTTTCAGCTTCTATTAGATTTGCGGAGAATAATTTATTGTTTCCATGATCGAAGACAGAAGTAGCAGGAGGTAGTGCTGCATCTGTAAAAATTGATCTAATTTTTCTTTACCTTCGCCTCTATCCAGGAAATCGTCTTCCAATAGATTTCTATTCATTTTTTCAGGAATCAGTGGATTTTGCAAAGAATGTATTAAATTGGAAGCACCGGCCTGATGACTCACCGCAGTCTTGGGCGTGTTATTGATTTCATGGACTGTTTCAGGTGCTGTCACCTCTTTGTCTTGTTGCAAACCCAACAAATCCTGTAAAGGACTTGAGTCATGTCCTAAATGTTCGAAATCATCCACCGAATCTACTTCCCTTTTAATGTTAAATGCTCCTTGTTCGATGTCTTTATGTTGTTCCATGTCTAACTAATAATTTTACAAACACTAGAATATCCCGTTAATACAAAAATATTATAGATTTCTACTTCTTCCTATTGCACTTACCACTGTAAACTAATTTCGAACTGGGCTCCAAACTTGAAACTCCCCAAACATGTCAACAATGATGTCAATTTCCCGAAATCTGATTCGCTATTCGCAAAACAACGAATCAGAAAACAGTAATAAAATGAGAAATATAAAGAGGTATTCAGATGATAGGTGCGAATTTTGGTTGTATAAATAAATTTTCTTGATAAAAAGATAACATAGAAAACTCTATGCTTAATAAAAAAAGTCTATCTATAACTTTAACTAATTAACTAAATCTTTATTTTATAAACCATGATATAGCCTATTGAATAGGCAAATAGACAACTGTATTTCGAATACACCCGATCGTTCATTAGCGGATAAATCTTAATTTCTGGGAGGGAACATAGAAAGCATGTTGCTCCCTTTTATGGACATAATTTAAGAGATTAAAAAAATATTGTTTATTGAATTATAGAAAATTGTGACAGATTTAACCTTCCTCGTAAGGTATGTTTAATTTACGACGCTCTTCGGTATGAAGTAGTATTGGTGTCCTACACACTTTTTTACTACAGAATAATGCCACACCCGTAAGTTAAAGTAATGAAAAATTAATTAGATTTCTTTAATTAATTAGATTTCTTTAATTAATTAATTAATTGCGCGATAGCAATACGAATGGCCTAGGATATTAATTAAATTACAAGGAACTTTTTTTACCGAAGCCTTCAAACCCACAATAATTTTGTACATCTCCGTCTATGCCTGATGACATTTCTTAATCTTTGTCATTGTCATGGATAAGTCATTTTAACTAGAATTCGGGAATTTTGAATGATCTAATTGAAGATAATTAAAATTATACAAATATATTTCGCAAATGTTTATGCTGAGTTACTTTGCCATAACAGTTTAACGAGACTTAAATAAATAAATATGTTAAATTTAATTATAAATCAATAATCTGAAGAATGTCCTGAATAATTATGTTTAGATGGAGCAAATGTCAAATTTATTGAGCATTGACTGTGACATTGAGCCTTGCATTGTTAGAAAAATTGATTAAATATGGTTAATATTTTGGACTGATTAGTTTACAGTATATTTTTATCCTTTACTTCTCGAATATATTTTATACGACAAAATACTCATGTGTTGATTTAGATTTAGGTTTTATCCGGGAGTGTTTTTAAAGTAGGAAAAGGTTAATGTAAATTAACAGGTATGTTTTAATTATTTATTGGTATTTTTCACTGTCAATAACATTTTTTACTACTGTTTTAAAGAGCAATGGATCGGAGTTCACATTACGATGGGCTAGAAAGCAAATCTCATTGGATTGCTGGTGATATAACTCGAAATGTATTAGAAATGAATAACGAGAACTTAGTTTTCCAGCAAAATGATCTATTTCCATCAGCTTTTCCTATTATGGCTGATATAAGAAGGCAAGGAAAACTCTGTGATGTTGTATTGAAGGTGGGTCATTTCTTTTATGTAATTCATTCACTAGTCTAAACAAATTTTTTAAATAGTATAATTATTTTTAGGTGGAAGGACAGTTTTTCAGTGCTCACAAGATTGTATTGGCATCAACCATTCCATATTTTCAAGCAATGTTTATGAATGATATGATTGAATCTCGTAATAAAGAAATTGAAATAAAATGCATTGATGCTTTGTAAGTAACTATATTTTTATAATATATTGTTATTAATAGCTATAGCTTTAATATGGCATAATCAAAATAGCCAAAAATAATTTGCAATTGAGAATGACAAGGTAGTGTATCATAACACAGTATGATTAGTGCTCGAGGAATATTGTCTCTATGGCATTTTCATTGATTGCAGATGATGGGCATGGTTTTCCCATTCATGGGTATGATTCACACATACTAATATATTATATCCAAAACCCTGTTTATGCAATGACTCCAAAGAAACATCTATGAAATTGTCATAAAATATTAATTAACTAATCTTCCTGTCCATATAAATGATCCTTATAAATATATTGTTTTAACTTCACAACTAGCTGTTTGTTGAAATAGAAAATAAAATTGTTCCATTTCTCCATGTGGAATATTGGATACTTGTGCTTTTCTTAGCCAAATGTTGTAAGATTGCTGACTAGCCAGGGGAGCACAAAATTTTACAAAGGTATACTCTTCATAATGTTAAACATATTACAAATATGTGATACACAGGACTAGTAAAACAAACACAATTCCAAGCTATGAATACCCTAATTTTTACAATTTAAGATCTAATATTTATTCTGCCCAAAAACTTGTAGATATTGAAGCATTAAAAATGCAAATTAATGAATTATTAGTTTTATAAATAATAAATTCCAAAGATTTTATTAGCACAGATATAATGGTTGACATGTATGTAATTCCATATATTAAATATATTTTTGCAGGGCACTTGAAGCTTTGGTTAACTTCGCCTACACAGGAAAAGTTACTCTAGATAAAAATAACGTACAGAGTGTTATGATAGGAGCATCTTATTTACAATTAAATAAAGTCAGAGATGCCTGTGCCAACTACTTATTGCAAAGGTAAGAATGTATACTTATAAGTATTAGCGTCTTAGCACTTATTTATTAATCTTTGTATTAAATAATGATTTACATGTATACTTCATCTATAGTAAAATTCAATAAGCGATGCAGGAAAATGTAAACATTAAATCGTGTCCGAACCGGTTTGACCCGCCGATAACGTCACCAGACGAAATAAAGATGGACATTTCGGTTAGTTTTTAAATATTTTTGAAGAACTGTTACTTGCATTTATGCATAAAATATTCATTAATTTTATAAATCGGATTATTTTTTCACTTACTATGTATTCAGTGAAAACATTAATTTATTTACTATGCAATAAACACGAATATTTGAGAAAAGAAAAGAAATACTTAAGTGTCATAATTATACTGTTACTTATCGGAACGAGTAGACTCATTCGGAACACCTTTAACAATTATCTGTTAAATTTATCGTTGTTTATATGCCCTGCATCGCTTAATGGAATAAGGTATAATTTACTTACCGTTGCACGTCATCCGCGTCATAGCCCGTGAGGTCACATGATACCAACACGAAATATTTAGGTGGTAGGTGTGTTCTTTTTTAGAATCAGTTATCAGTAGAAACATGATTATAAATATTTTTTTATTTTGTTGTAGAATTCACCCACAGAACGCATTAGGATTTAGACATTTTGCAGATTCATTAGGCTGTTCCACACTGGCAGATTCCGCAGAGAAATATATCGAATCATATTTCCATGAAGTTTCCCAACATGAGGAGTATTTAAATCTCTCTGTGACAGAAATAAAAGATTTGTTAAGTAAAAATGATCTCAGAGTTGAAAGGTAATTAATTCATTGTGAAATCCACTTCGCTTCATTAAAAAGAGACCACCTAGAATATTTATTTTATTTATTTATATACGGCATCCATTTACTTACAATTTTTATAAAGTTACATCTTAAAAACAATATATTATTAAAATAACAATCACAAGTTTTACAAAGTTACACCTTAACAACAATAAATTATTAAAATAACAAACACCTCAGAATAATACAAACATATAAGAATAATACATATGTACAACCAACTTATTGTAAGATATTTTTTAGTTGTTTTTTAAACAAACTAATTATGGAGTCAAAAATATCTATTTGTCTTGGCAAGCTATTAGCACTCCGGACCAATCGTGTAGTTGGTTCATTGATACCATAATTAGTGTGGTGAAATGGCACCGAAAAGATTTCCGATTGTCTGCTGCTTCTACTAGGAACTTTAAGACTAACAAGTGATAAGAGTTGAGGACAATCTATAAAAGCATTGATAACTTTGTGTAAGAAACATAAATCTAACAATGTTCTCCTTGACTCAAGTGTTGGTAAGTTAAGACTATCTCTTACCCACTGATAGTCATATTCCTCTCTCCTGTATCCACTCTTATAGGCTGCTACACTCAAAAATTTATTCTGGACTCTTTCAATATGTTGAATGTAACAGTGGTCTGATGGGGACCATATAACTGATCCAAACTCAAGAATGGGCCTAACGAGACCACAATAAAGTCTTCTAAATGTAAATAAAGACAGATCCACAGATGATTCAATTTATTCTATTGTAACTAAACTCCCAGAATGCAGAAACACTTGGGAGGTACCACCACTGGGTGCCAAAAGGTCAGTTAAGGGTAATAAGTTCGCAGAATTGATATCAGTTTTACGACTTCGGAGAATGCATGTGTTGTTTGTTTGTTGTTTTTTTTTTTTTGAAATATGGCTGTTCTATTTTTCAAGAATTATTCATTAGTGTACAGTTGTTTAAAGAGTGAACTTCTGCAATTTTTAAATTTAAAACTATGGCTGAGAAGTTTGTTAGATCTGTTCAAATTGTTACTTTGATTAATAATGGATTAAGTCAAAGAGAAGTTGCCAGGCAGCTTATGGTTAATCGTTGTCCAAAAAAATACCAACGGTTCAGAGAGACTGGATCTCACGAACGACGACCAAGTTCATCAGTAGCGCACCGAGAATTTTCCTCTGGGGGAGGGGCACCAAAATTTTTTATGGTACCTCCACCATTTTAAGTCCTTAAAAATTGTAAATAACAGTGTCGGAATAGGGCCCAAAACCACCCCTGGGTGTGCCACTGAAGTTCATGTGAGAGAAAAATCACGATGATCAGAGAAGACCGTTCTTTACAACGCACTTCTTTGCAAAATCGGTTCTTTACGGCTAGAGCAATCCAAAACCGATTTTAAAATGGTCACGGGTGGACATTAAGCACTTCTAGAGTAAAAAGCAGTTTGATTGAATTCAGTCTGAGCACCAACAGGACCTTTGTTAACAGCAGTACATCGACAAAGCTGACTTGATTTGCTAGAGACCATGAGCATTGAAGGATAAAAGATTGGAAAAATGTTTTGTTTAGTGATGAGTACAGGATGGTTCTTTATGGCTTAGACGGTCGCATCAAAATGTACAGAAGACATGGGAAACGACATTCTTGTGTTCGACGAGCACGTGTTGCTTTTGGAAGAGGCTCGGTAATGTTTTGGGCAGGCATTTCATTCGAAGGCCGTACTGATCTCGTGTTTACTGATAGAGGAGCGTTAAATGCTCACCGATACATTACCGAAATTCTAGACGAGCATGTAATGAATTTTGCTGGGTTTGTTGGAGAAAACAACATTTTCATTCAAGATAACGCGCAGCCACACGTAGCCAGGATGGTAACGCAATATCTGTGTGAGAAAAATTAATTGGCCGGCTCAAAGCCCAGATTTGAACCCGATTGAGCATGTTTGGGACCAACTCAAACGAAGAGTAAAAAATAGAATAGAGGTGGTAATACAGTATGTTAAAAATCACAACTTTATTGTAATTTTTATAAAAAAAAAAACAGAAAAAATTACAATTTTAATTTTTTTAATTTAGTTTTTTTTTTATATTTGTTGTCTAAGAATCGTCTAAGAAATGGTTGCATACTGCTTATTCTTAAAGATTACACAAACATCTAATGACAATAAATTTCTTGAAGGGGTTCGTAAAAATTAAAAATGCCAAACATTTTAGGTGGTTTCTTTTTAATGACGCGCATGTGTATATTGTGAAATATATGGAATATAAATACCACCTTTCAAATATTTGCGCTATAAATCCGGTTTGGCGAGGTTTCTAAGAATCGAATCAGACTGCAGGTAAGTTGACGCTTCAAATGAAGAAAACGAACCTAAGAGGCGTGTCCGAAGTGCAAGTCTTATCGGAACCATAGATGTACTAGCGTCATCGCCAGCTAACTTGGCGGTGCGCACAAACCCAAAATTGCTTAGTGGCTAGGTGGTGGTCTTTAGTCTCCTCCCAGTTATCAGCTGCGTAACACTTAAGTGATTTGCGGCTATTATTTTTCAGACTTCTTATTATTTCGGATAGTTAAGTGTATTTGTGACAATTTCTAACGATGGCATTGAAAAATAGTAGAAAAAATAATTCTGTTATTAGTGGAGAATCTCGGGAGATTATATTTAATGTGTTTATCAGTTATCAGGTGCGTAACACTTAAGTGATTTGCGGCTATTATTTTTCAAACTTCTTATTATTTCGGATAGTTAAGTGTATTTGTGACAATTTCTAACGATGGCATTGAAAAATAGTAGAAAAAATAATTCTGTTATTAGTGGAGAATCTCGGGAGATTATATTTAATGTGTTTATCAGTTATCAGGTGCGTAACACTTAAGTGATTTGCGGCTATTATTTTTCAGACTTCTTATTATTTCGGATAGTTAAGTGTATTTGTGACAATTTCTAACGATGGCGTTGAAAAATAGTAGAAAAAATAATTCTGTTATTAGCGGAGAATCTCGGGAGATTATATTTAATGTGTTGAATTATTTCAAAAGCGACATTCGCAGAATAATTTACGATTTTTATAAAACAGAAAAATGTCGGGTTACGGTAAAAAAATTAAAACAAAAAATTCACAACGATTTGGATATCACAATTTCACAAACATCTTTAAGACGACTTCTACGCAAAATGCAATTTCGTTGGAGGAAAACCGAAAACAACTGAAAAGTGCTTGTAGAAAAAAGTGCAATAAGAACTTTGAGAATAAAATATCTCAGGCAAATCAAATATTTTCGGAGTCAAAATAGGCCAATCGTGTATGTTGACGAGACCTACTTACACAGCGGTCATACTTTTTCAAAGAACTGTACTGACGAATCAACCAAGGGCTTATTTTCAAATATTTCCAAAAGTCAACGACTAATAATAGTGCATGCCGGTGGGGATATGGGATTCATAAAAAATGGCTTATTAATCTTTAAATCAGGTGATTACCACTCTGAAATGAATTCAGACAACTATGGAAAGTGGTTACAAGAACATTTAATACCTAATTTACCTGCTATTATCGGTATTAGTTTTTGATAACGCACCTTATCACAGCATTCAGTTGGAGCGGGCGCCTACATCAAACTCAAACAAAAATCAAATGATAGAATGGTTTATGCAGAAAAATATTTCATTTACACCTATTGCTTTAAAACCTGAACTGTATGAAATAATTAAATTTAAATATCATAAACCTCATCATGTAAAATACAAATTCGACGAAATTCTACGTGCGCATGGCCATATTCCTTTACGTTTACCTCGTTACCATCCTGACCTAAACCCTATTGAACTAATATGGGCTACAGTCAAAAATAATATGATGCAGAAAAACGTTACATTTAAGCTAGCTGACGTACAAAAATCGCCGAGGAAGAATTCACTAATATTGATGCAAATGAGTGGAGAAAACGATGTTACCATGTCATTAAGAAGGAAGATGAGTATGTGGACAGCGAGATAGTTGCTGATAACGCCACGCAATCTTGACAGTGACTCTTCCAGTACAGAGTTTTCTTCTTCCGAAGATGAAAATGAAGAAAATTATTAACAATCCATTTATTTTCAAATAGATACCACTTTTCAAACACGGGCACTTGTTTTAGTATTATAATAAAACCAAAATATTAAAATTAAATAATTACTGTGTTGCATTTATTTATACAATATCCTCCATTTAATTTGAAACACAATATCAACGTAGATTTGTAAATTAAATTCAATCACTATTGTATAATTTGTTTACTAAGGTAAATCAATATTATTAACCAGTGGTTTACTATTTAAATTAAATAAACCAAAATTACAATTTCATCTTTCTAATAATATATTAAAGCTTGCGAAAAATATTACTTTTTAATTGTGTAATAATTATTTGACCTATACCGCTACGCTACTGAATATACTTATCAGAAATAGTAAACCAATAGGATGAATCATAGGGCGTAAACATAATTTATTTCTCTGTGACGTTCTGCGTACTCTCTCGCCAAGTTAGCTGGCGATGATTGTATATATTAACATAGATCGGGCATACCGGCCGCGCATACTGACGACAAGATCTTTTGCGGTTGTTCGATCTGTGCCTCTCTAGCGCATTGCAATTCTTCACTCTCCCTCTCCCTTACCAAAAGGGACGCTGTTATACTTACTTGATATAAGACCACACATCGAACAATGAAAAAAAGATGGTGTCGCCACTTATCTGTACAGACTGCTCAGTCTATGTTAATATATACGTCTATGATCAGAACCACGAAAACAATGAACAGCACAACGCAACGAAACGTCACTCCACAGATAAATTAAACGGTCACTCTGTGCCTTTAGCTCAAGAATACCTTGGTATGTAAACGCCACATAGGAAGATACAATTTCACGCATGTGGCGTGTGCCGACTGTATCCGAAGAGGGGATTTGCGTTGGATCTTCGTAACTGGCGCCTACTGTAGTCACTGCCTTGTGGCCGAACTACACTCGTATTTCGTCGTACCGATCAAATAAAGAAACGACGAAAGAAATATGCTCAAAAAACGTAGAATATTTCTGCTTTGAATTATATTGTCGTTTATTCGTTATCTTGTTATATTTTATAATAATATTATTTGCATTTATGTAAATTTTTTTTTAGCGAAGAACAGGTTTTTGAAGCTTGTATGAGATGGGTTAAACATGATGTGGAAATAAGAAAAGATTTCTTGCCAGAATTATTGTCCTTAGTTAGATTGCCATTATTATCACCTCTATACATTACCGATAGGGTTAGAAATGAAGAACAAATAAGGTATTCCATACAATGCCGGTAAGTATTTCTTTCCATTGTGTGTACTGTTGTGTTTTAAGCATGTAGATAATTATATCTTGCAAGTCGAGACAAATCTGACAGTTGTCAGAATTGTGTTACCCAAAAACCCTTTAAATTATAGTAAATTTGTTATTTATCACATCTTTGCTAATAAATTGGTATGGTGTTAAAGTTGTAAACATACAGATTTGGAATTTATTTTATGGAACATAGTCTTTTTATTACATTAACTCAGAATAGCTGTTTTGGAATTAACCAGTGTATATTTAAATATATCTTCGCGATGTTTTATAATTAATTCATTTGTGATTGTAACTCCCTCTCCAATCGATATCCTACTACCGCAGCGCACGTTACCAAACGCAACCGATTGTCGTATAACTAAATCTAGCCGCCAGTGTATAAACGAAACACAGGTAGAGTGCATGTCAATTCGCCAAAACCGTACCATTTTAAGTAGACATGGAATCAAAACTATTATTTACCTAAAAAAAATTGGTATATTTTATTGCCAAAATGGCTTAAAAAAAAAGATTTCTAAAAATAAAAAGGAATTCCAAAAATAACAATAATAATATTAAAAACAAAAATTTAACGTAATAGAGGTTACAAATCTGTTGTACAGAGATACTCCCATATCTATGAGCAGTTCCTGTCTAATGCTTAAAAAAAACGAATTATTTTGTCCTTCAATTCCGCTAAATTTCGAGCTCTCTTAAAACCATGTCGGTTAACACTTCTTTTCAAATATCTCAAAAAAAAATCAATTGGTGATAAGTCTGGTAATCTGGGAGGCCACTTGATCGTACCACGAGAAGAAATTATTTTATTTCCAAAAATGGTTTCTAAATAATTTTGAACTGCTCGTGTATTGTGACCAGGACAGCCGTCTTGCTGAAACCAAATATCGTCAAGTTGACTCGAAGTAATTGAACTGCTGGAGTAACTTGATTTTGCAACGACTCTAAATATTTATTTTCCGTTAAATTTTCAGCCATAAAAAATGGACCAATGATATAGTCCCCCAAAATACCTGTCCAAACATTAAGTTTTTGGGAATATTGTGTTCGTACTGGAATTCTCAAGTGTTTATTATGCCGAGACCAGTATCGTACGACAGAAGGATTATGTTTACGATGTAACGAAAATCTCGATTCATCGGCAAACAAAATGTTTTAAAAAATGTTCATTTTCATTTTGTTTATTCATCGTGAGTTCACAAAACTAATGTAATAAATTATCAAAAACAATTGTATGGATGGAATGACTTTATAAAATAATTTAATTATAAGTAGGCAAGCATCAATACATGTACCTAATGAAACTAGCATCTTCTTCTTACGGTGCCTATCCGTTCCGGATGTTGGCGATCAACATGGCTATCCTAACTTTGCTTGCTGCTATTCTGAATAGTCCGGTTTCGATGTAATAAACCACTTTCTCAGGTTTTGAAGCCAAGATATTCTTCTTCTCCCTGGTCCTCTCTTTCCAAATACCTTGCCCTGAAGAATGAGTTGCAACAAGCCGTATCTCTGTTCATTCCTCATAACATGGCCAAGATATTCTAGTTTGCGCTTTTTGATGGTGCTAATAATCTCGCATTCCTTGCCTATTCTACGTAGGACCTCAACATTAGTCACACGATCCACCCATGAAATTCTTAAAATACGTCTGTAACACGACATCTCGAATGCCTCGAGTTTTCTTAAAGAAGCTTCGGAAAGTGTTGAGGCCTCTACTCCGTATAATAACGCAGAAAATACATAGCATCTAATGAGAGAGATTTTGGTAGCAAGTGGTAAATCGTGACTTCTGAAAAGAGACTTCATCATTATGAACGCTGATCTCGCTTTTCCGATGCGTTGTTTTATTTGACTGGAGTGATCCCATTGGCTGTTAATGTTGGTACCAAGGTATGTGTAGCTGTCCACTCTGTCAATTGGATGTTGGTTAACCAAAAGCTGTGTATTTAATATTTCGCGCTTACTGACTACCATCTACTTTGTTTTCTTCGTATTAAGATCAAGTCCGTGTTCTCTACTTATATCTGATATAAGCGACATTATTCTTTGCAAACCGTCCAGACTATCTGCAAAAACTACTGTGTCGTCAGCATATCTAATGTTGTTTAGACGCATTCCGTTGACTAAATACGCCTTCTAGCGCTTGCTCGAAGATATATTCAGAGTATATATTAAATAACACCGGTGACAGAATGCATCCTTGCCTCACTCCTCTATCTATGGAGACTGCCTCTGTCAATTGGTCATCCACTTTAATATTGGCTGTTTGGTTTTAATATAAATTATAGATGATTCTCAAGTCCCTATCATCTAACGCCACTTCTTTCAAGATATTTATAAGTTTATCATGCTTTACTCTATCAAATGCCTTTTTGTAGTCGATAAACTAGCATAGATACACTGAAATATTAATAAGGCCCTATATATTTTAATTCAACAATTAGTACCTAAAAATTATATGGTATATATGTGTATGATGCTGAGTTGTTTATTATTGAAAACAGGGATATTGTATAATAGAGAAACGTACTAAAGAAAATTAAGAAAAAAGAAAGAAGCAGTGTGTTTTGTTAGAAAATTGTAAAACATTTGCATAGATGGAAAGATTTTAAGACTATTTACCCGGTTCTTTTACTTGTTGCAGGGCTACAACTATCTTATTTTAAATCGCTTGTTCTAGCAGAGTACTTTTGCCGTTATTAAACCAAGTTTAAAACATTTTTAATAAAGGTCTAAAATATCACATAACATATAATTTTTTTTAATATAAATTGTAATTTTAGGGATCTCGTAGACGAAGCTTTAACATTTCACTTAATCCCAGAACGACGAGCGTTGATACAGAGTTTTCGAACGGAACCGAGAGTGTGTGACATTAAAGGTCACATATATGTTGTCGGTGGCTTAAACAAACATGGAGACTCATTATCGACAGTCGAATATTATGATCCGAAGAAGGACAAATGGAATATGGCACCTCCTATGTCGATGATGAGGTCTAGATTAGGAGTGGCTGTGATAAAAAGTAAATTATTCGCTTTTGGAGGTTACAATGGAAAAGACCGATTAGCAAGTGTTGAAGTTTATGATGCGATTAGGAAAGAATGGGCTACTGTGGCGCCGATGATTTGTAAAAGAAGGTATAACAATAGTAATAATTACTTAAATGCAATTTTTTAGTTTTATCGTATTAATATAAGTGTACCATGAAAAAAGTTCGTTCTGTTCAAAAAATGGTTAGGAAATATAGTATTTTTCCGATCACCAATCACAATTCATTTAAAATACTTAAAAAAACCATAAAAGTAAGAATAAATTCAAAATCTGTTTCCTCAAATGAATTTGAGAATGTGTTATTTTATTCCTATCTGAATAAAAGAAAGACACTAGCGCCAAGATAAAACAGGTTTACATGTTTCAATTTTTTTAATATAAATACTGATTTTAACATATTTATTATAAATTTTACTAACTTATAAATTTTAGCGCCCTAGGAGCAACCGCATTAGGTGACATTATATATGTATGTGGTGGATATGACGGCGTGACCTCTTTGAATTCAGTGGAGAGATACCATCCAAGTACCAATTCTTGGTGTTCTTTAGCACCAATGAATAAGTCTAGAAGTGCAGGTGCAGTCATTGCCTGTCAAGGTATGGTGAAAAAATAATATACTTCGTCTAATTTAGATAACGACTTACGTCAGAGATCGAAGTTGACATAGTTGCCAAAGTATAAAAAAATCCTGACTCCATTTTAAATCAAATAGGTCACATAATTATTGCAAAAGTATTACCATCTCTTTACAACGACTATTTAACTTCTTACGTGACATTTTTGAAATAAAACACACTAATTTTGTTCTAAAAAGATCAGATTTTATTAAATAGGTAAAAATATAAAACAAGAGGTATTCACTTTAAAATTCAAAATAATAAAGTACAAAAAGTGTCAACACCGCAACTGTCAAATAAGTGTTACCAATTTATGCCAAAATTTTACCTTCGTTCGATTACAGTTACACTGTGTTCCGAACAAATGTTCTTGATAAAAACTCTTTATAATGGATTTATACAAATTAAATGAAACATATTATTGTGTATTTCTTTAAGTTAACATTAATAGAAATTTTTAAATATTATTTCTACGCGTATATAACAAAATATGTCTAGTGGTTGTAATGCCAGTGTACTCGGTAAAGTGATTCATAAAAGAACACACCTAAACCCTAAATATTTCGTGTTGGTATTATATGACGTCACAGGCTATGACGCCGATGACGTGCATCGTTATATAAATTAGATGAAGTGTACTTAAATATGTTATTTGACCATACATGAATTAAGAATACTGATATATTTTGCCAATTTACTATTCTCGTAACAATATTTGATCACCGAATTTGTAATAAAATTTATAAATGTATTAATTTTCTTTGTATGGTGAAATATAATATGATTTGTACTAAGTAATTTTAAATCGACGCTAGAGTCTGGTTACGTGAATTAATTGTATGTTTCAATAAATTTTAACTGTGCTCTCTTTTATCATTTTTATTCTTTAAAAAATCATTTACATATTCTCCAGTTATCGTTAAATATTGTATTTATATGGATTGAACTACAATTGATTTTGATTTTCCCCAGATTTATTGACCTAAAGATGTTTATCAATTGAGGCTTTGCAGCAGACAATTTGAGAGTTGACTTAGTTAGCGTCGATTTTGTAGGCAACCCGTTTTGTGTTGAAATTCTGAGGGTGATGTTGATACCAAATTGATACCAAATTCTGATTTCAGTGTGCTTATGTATATTATTGTTTGATTGATGATTGCTGACTTGTTTCAGTATGGCTAATCAGAATCTGTTGCTGTATTCTGCTGATGGGTTTGCTACATATTTTTACTCATTTAATAAGACGATTCTTTCATTTTTCTCTTTTTGCTCTCTGTGTTTTTTACATGACTGTTGATGCATCCATCCTTCCGTTGTATCCTATGCTCATTGTACCAAGCATGTTTTTGCATATTTGGAATCTGAAAGTCCCTGTTTTCATGCTTATTTATCCTAATGCTTATTGGTCGTGAGGTTTGCCCCACATAAATGTTATGTGTTGTTTGGTTTGATTTTAGACAGAATAGATCTCAGCGTGTTGGTTTTTTGAATGTTGTAATTTTGTATTTATTTCCTATCTTTTTTTTTTTAATTTTCTGATAAGCCCTTTATATATGATATTGATGTCATCTTCAAATCACCTCTTGTGAGAGTTTTTGGATTGTATTTGATGTTGTTTTGTTTATTTTATTCAATCTTGTGAAATTCCTTGTTTATAAATGACAATGGATGTTCATTTTCTGTTAACACCTTTGTTAATAATGCATTTTCGTTGGAGTAGGTATTTTAGGCTCTATCATATAATGATTTGAGAATTCCCTTTTTGACATTATTTATGTTGTGCTTTGAGTGATAAATTAAATATCTCTTGGTGCGGGTTGGTTTTCTGTAGACTTTGGTTACATATCCTATATCCTCCTTTGTGATTAACACACATACAAAAGAGGTAGCAAGTTGTTGTTTTCTTTTTCGATACGAATGTGTTTGATTTTACTTTAAAGTTACTATTCATAAAAAATATTGCGTTTCTGCTCCATGAGGCCCATGGCTAATTAAAAATCTTGTTTATAAAAATCATTTATTTTTAAAGTTTTTTCCAAAGGCACATTGGTGAAGAGATTGGTCATGAAGGCCGTATGACACTATGCATTTTCTTGTATCATTTCTTATATCATTTCTGATATAACAAAAAAATTGAGAGTGTCATACAAGCATATATTTTCTTATATCAGAAACGATACAAGAATTTGTGTCCGCTGCATTTTCTTGTATAAGAAATGCGACAATTTGTGCGCAAAGCCGCAAAAACGTAAAACTTCTGTCATATTGGCGGCTGGAGAAAAACTTTGATATACAATTAGACCAAGCAGACATCAGAGAAAAGTGCCCACCAACAATAACCAAGATTAGAACATCAGTAGCCAAATTGAAAAACAATAAATCACAAGGATTGGATCAAATAGCATCGGTTCTACTGAAAGTAGGAGATGTTTTACTAAAAACAATACATAACCGCTCTAAAAATTCGTGATGAGTTTAAAAATTATTTTCTATCTCCAAATAAAAGAGTAGAATTTCAAGAGCATGCCATTCAAACACATAATTAAAAAAAACATAAATTATTACAACCAAATTATTTATTATTTCTGTCTTCCATTACAGCCTGTTGAATATCTTCAAAAATTGTGGTTTCCAATTTAGTTTTCATATTGGGACATTTTATTTCTTTCATTTTTGCACCACAGTATTTTAAAAAATAGTCAGTAGCATATGTCTTGGGGTCCTCAGGTACTGCAGTTCAATTTTTATAGATTTCGACCAATCATGTGCCAAATCACATACAATTTCCGGTAAAAGAACTTGCATAGTGTCATACAGTTATTTATGTTAGTTTTATAGTATATATATACTGTTAGTTTTTGCAATTGTATATTCTTTATAAATGTTGTTATGTTATGTTATGTGCTAATTGCTATATTATATCTAGGAGGAACTTTGAAAGTTTGTTGCAAGGAAAACCCATGTTGCTGTAAATTAGTCATAATGAAATGTTTTCTTTGTGTATTTTTGGGACTTATTATGGGTACTGGGTCCTACTGTAGTGGGGTGTTAATTCTCTTATTTGATAGTCTGCGAGATATTACTTTCATCTGTGCAGTGTTTTATATATTCTGTTCTCCAGTGATTTGGTTTGATTCTTTTGTAGTTTTATATATGGTCCATTCTGGACCATTCTATGATTCTTGGATTTTCTCTTGATATTGAATTTTGTCCATAGTAGATATACTAAGAGGATCTGAGACCATCCCCTAAATCGCAACCCCTAAAATCGCAACCCCCGGTCGTAAGTGCCAAACGGCTTAACGTAGGATGACGTACGAGGGCTCGTTGGAAAGGGGATGAAAAATGGGGTTGAACGCAGTATGTGCCGTGCGCATCGGAGCATGTCAAAGGGTCATTACGTCATATCTTTGTTTCTATTGGTCCGATCGGGGCGTACGGGGGCTCGTTGGAACGGTGAGAAGGCGGGGAGACAAAAAACAAAGATGGCGGCGTTGTCAAATGGACGTTAAAACGTATCTTCGTTGCTATTGGTCTGATTTTGACGTATGAGGTGTCAAAGCGTTGGTGACACACACAAGCAATGTCAACGCTCGAAGATTCGTCTTCTTCTTCTTTTCCGTACAGTGGCTAAGAGAAGGTCAACGTAGGACGAGACAGTTATGTGACATTCGACACAGAACGTAAAATGTCACGTGACATTCAACGCAGGACGTGACATTCGACGCAGGACGTGACAGTTATGTGACATTCGACACAGAACGTAAAATGTCACGTGAACACACACACACACACACATATAAAGCCATGTCAACGATTACTGTCCATGATTACAGTTACGTTACCCTTGCCATGTGGTATTATGGACTCATATTATTTTACAGCTATAATAGCTTCTATTTTATTTACATTTGCTAGCGATTTTGTACTTTTTTTCAGTTCAGTTTTGCACAATACTCGATATTCTTCATTTTCATATGTTGGTAGTTGCTGACACACTTTTACACAGCACTAAGTATGTTTAGTTTAGAAACCGATGGGCAGGTTACGGAAAAATTTAGACCTTTTGGGAGCAACAGGTTCTCTGTTGTGTTTAAGTTTAGTTACCGTCGATGCAATACGTAATTTATTTATACTGACAGTATAACATTTGACATAATAGTTGTTGATAAAATTAAAATACCCCCTAAAAGAGAAAAATGTTAATTTCGACGATTATTATTTTATTCTTTTTTACCACAAGTGTGTTTTGCAGGTTACATATACGCGTTAGGTGGCCATGATGGCCTGTCAATCTTCGATTCAGTAGAGAGGTATAATCCAGCAACTAATACTTGGACGGAAGCTCCACCAATGCTCACTAAAAGGTAAATAACTTTTTATATAAAATATAATATATAGAGCTTTATAGCAGCGATATCTATACGAAGCAACAAAAAGTCGGGAGACCTCTTTTCGATAGCGAATCAGGTGAACCTCAAATTCAAAGCCTCTTAGTAGAGGCTATTGAACGATAGGAATAATCTTTTATTCAGACATGCATTTATAGTTCACCTTTGAAAAGATGAATGGTGGAATTCGATTAGAAATGAAATGCAGTCTTCTACTTTCTCTAGGTAGAGAGTGAAAAAGATAGTGTTTTCAAAGGTGAACCGTAGATGCATGTCGAAATAAAAGGTTATTCCTAGTATCGTTCAATAGTATCGTTCAAACCTCATTTGACAGAATGTGTTCTATTTTAACTATTTTTAAACTACTCATTCAAAAAAAGGTTTTTTTTTTATATATAATTCTTTTCTAGGTGTAGATTGGGTGTCGCAATGCTGGGTGGGAAATTATTTGCATGTGGTGGATACGACGGAAGTTCATTTCTTCAAACTGTGGAAATGTTTGATCCAGCCACTAATAAGTAAGTAAACAATACCTTTAAATTAGTTTACTTTGTGTAGTTAGTCCACTAAAATTTCACATGGTTGTAAAATCCTTGAGGCGTTAGGAAAAAGTGCAATTCCTTCAATTTACAGTTCATTACACAATAGACTTAACTGATAACTCGCAATATACTGATCTAATGTCCCTGCTATCATGCAGGCATGCAACAAAATACATTTATGAATATATAACGTTATTGATAAAAACGTTTATGTACCACAATTTAACCTCAAATCACAACTGCAATGGCTTTTTCAAAGTGCTGTATTTTAAAACCACGCGAAAAAATACAGTAATCTGTTACACCGTTTGAGAGATGAAACTAGACAGAAGCGTCGTGTATCCCAGATATTGAGATTTTCAACCATAGAGGGCGTCAGCAGAAAATTATATTTGCCGTACCCGTGCAGGTACGCTGGGCGTTAATGGGTTGAGGTACTATTACCTCTAGAATGCTAAACCATTACACATTTTCAACGTTTTTTTTGTATCTATTATAATATATGACAATCAAACTTTTTTTTCTATTATTATACAACTTTTGAAGATCACAATTTTTTTCCATTGTTCCTGTTATCGCCAAATATTTTTCATCCAAAAATTACTGATGCATGGAGGACAGTTAATCTCTATAGCGGCAAATTTGAAATATAAAATTATTTTTAATTACATGCTCTTCTACATGACAAACGTAATTTGCCAATATTAGATTTTTTTTCTTTTCGGTTTTGGGTTGAAAAGATAAATTATGATGAATTTTTAGAAACCCAGTTATTAATAATACATCCACTTTGTACATAAACTGGAGAAGTATAATTAAAAAACTAATTATTATTAATTGTCAATTTCGTATGTATTTAATATATGTTTAACCTCAAATTGGGAGGTCCAAAACTGTCAGATGAAGGCGGTACGTGTCGTGTCAGTCACGCACGGGGCGAATAAAAATGTACGTAATCTAGAAACAATGTCTAATGTCTAATCGAATATACTCGTGCTAACACTTGCTTATATTGGTAAATTAACACTATAATGCCCAATAACTGTCTGATGTCCAATTATTGACGTTTTACACTATATAATTATTTATATTTTGTGTTCGTATAATTATTTTGTAAGTAATTCAAAATTTTGTTTATTTAGGTGGGTATATGTAGCACCGATGAACGCTCAAAGGAGTCGAGTAGCTCTAACAGCCAACATGGGTAAACTATGGGCAGTAGGTGGATATGATGGTATATCTAATCTTGTAACGGTAGAAGTATATGATCCAAAGAGTGATAAATGGACCTATGCAGCTGACATGATAGCACATGAAGGTGGAGTCGGCTTAGGAGTGATTTCTATACCGTGAAATATATAATTTAATGAAGCCATATTTTACTATCATTCGAAACGTACTTTTTAAATTGTTTATTTTACCGTTTTATGAACTAACGAAATTTTAAAGATTACATACACTTTCAAAAGGTCTGCATTTTCTACTCGCGACAGTTTTTAAAGTGTTAGCGAGTTCCCTGACAACAAAGGTTTGTTATAGTTATAACAATATACCCTAATACAAGAGTAGTTTCCGATGTTTTGGGTATGATATTAACTTTAAATTTTTTTCATTAAGAATAATTTATTAATACCTGACAATAACCTGAGAAGCTTTGAGCAAATCAATGAAAGAATTATTATTTATCTATTATGTGGAAAGTGCACGTTCTCGAGAATATTCGAATATGTGCCATCAGAATGTGAATCACAACCAGATAAACAAATATTCTGTGAAACACAGAACAGAATTTCTTGAAAATGTAAATAACCGCAAATAAATTGAGCTGTTGGGAGATTTTAATGCTCCTATAGGAAGAAAAACAAATCGTAAAATCGTAGGAACATACGGGAAAGATAAAACAAACGAAAATGGAGAACAGTTAAACGAATTCTGCGAACAGCACTCTCTAAAAATCTTAAACGGATTCTACCAACATAAAAACATACATAAATATACCTGAGCCCAGCCAACGAGACTTACCAAGTGAGTTATATCCGTAGATTATGTTATGGCAAAATAAGAAACACACATACAATTAGAAGACGTAAGAGTATTAAGAGGACAGGAGTGTGGAACTGATCACTATATAGTACGATAAAAATGGTACCTATAGTATCGACCGCGATCCCTACACCTAAATGACAAACGACCAGCACAATCAAAACCACTAGAAACGGATCCAACTAAATAAAATATTGATTCATTGCAAAATTACTACATTATTTTTATATACGTTACGCCTTAGCCATAAATTAACAAACCTGATCTACTCCCCAGACCAGAATACCTACCAAGAGATAATAAATAAAATCAGTGAATTAGCTTATAAGGCGCTCGGCACAGTTCCAAGAAACAAAAAGCATACTCCATTGTGGTGGATCAATTACATCGAGAATGCAATACACAATAAACATATTAACAAACAAATAATTGACCCAGGCAAGACAGAGAAGTCAAACATCCAGTAACTAAAGCAAAAATATGTCCACGAAAGTAAATTCGAAGAGCCGGCAAATATACGGGCTCAACAAGATCAAGAGAAGCATGGAAAACAGTAAAAAACCTAAGAACAAAAGAAAATAAACGAGTAGAATATATTTAATATAATAAAGATCTTGGACCGAACATTACTGTTCATCACAACTTCTGTTGATGAAGAAATAATCAAGATGATGAAAAAGCAGTGCAGGAAGTCGAATTTATCTATATAAAAGGCTAGGACGATAAGTCACACTGTTTGTCCAATAGGGTAACTACGCCACCTAGAAAATAAATCTGAACTACTAACATCTGATTTATTATCATACAGTTGATTTATTGCTAATTCACGCAAAAAAATTGATGATTAAAATATTCTTAATGAGAAATTTTATACACATTTTATTCACAGTAATTAATTTTTTCGCAAAAATTGCTAAAAATATAGGTTACTGTAATTGTAAGGTAAGATCAATTACGTATAATATTATACGTCATTGGGTGAGATACACATATTAAACCATGGACCATATAGCGACATAAAGAGTTACTATGGATAAAAATTGATTCACTATAAGACAAATTTTGATTTATTAACTTAAAGAAGGCCTCTGCTGAGTACAAAATAAACAACTGATCAAATCCTAACATGCTACATAGCAAATAAAAGGTGAGTATATATCGAATATATTAAGATAAAAAAATCAAACAAGGCTTCTACCAAAAGGCATAAACACAGCATCTTCGTTATTAATAAACGTATAGCGACTTACGAGATATCACATGACACTATAGATGATATAGCATACATCAAATCAAACGGACGTGAGACGTATAATACATATTCATAATGTATACAGCGTGCCTTTCAATATATATATATATATATAAATATATATATATATATATATATATATATATAATATATAAATATATACAGGGTATAGTAAAAAAATGATCATAAGGGTCAGAAGAGTACCAGATCATACTTTATATTTACTTGGTATACATGCAAGAAGTCTATTATTTTAAAAATTTAATGAGTCACTGAATGATGGCCGATGGCAATTTATTGGATCGTTGTCGCATGCGATGGGCAAAATTACTAGTATGATAATAATGGTCAAATAATAAATTTATCCCATTGTCTGAAAGATGTAGTACAAATGGTACCATTTGGTCAGTGCTTGAATCTTTGGAAGAGTTTAAAGCTTCAGCAAGTTCTTTTGAGAAAAGGGGAGGTTAAGGCTGTGATTCTCGTGTTCGTCATATCTCAGTATGTTATCTTCTACGTTGTTTTTATGTATTTTAAAATCCTACGTGAAATTTTCATTGCAGGGATTTAATTCGTATTGTTCTGCTAACATATTTACCATTTCTCTTCTATTACTAATGATTGTGATATTTTTTGCTAGAAAAGGGATCTTATATGGTTGGCTTTTGCCAGAGATTTTCCTTCAATTTTTCCAAACTGTACTTATTGTTGTAGAAGTATTTAGAGATGAGATGAATAGGATTTTTTTCTTTTCTTTATTGGAGTATATCTTGCACCAGCTCTTTGTTTTTTATATTCCGTTTTCGTCTTTTTTGCGATGCTTTAATCTATTAGAAACTTTTTTATATGCCCTTGTAACTAACTTCAGGCTGTATTTAGGTGTTCATTACAGAAGAGATTTATGCTTTTTTAGAATGTTTGTTTTTTCTACATACTTCTCTGCGACTGCTGTGCCTTTTCTAAATATGTACTTAAAAAGGTATAAGTATCGTTTAATGGTATGTTAATCCAATCAGCTTGTTTAATATTCCACTTTGAGATACTCTGTTCAATGTTTATGGTTTTCTAGTGTGTTCATAACATTCATAAAAAGTGGTCGCTACTGATTTTATGTTTTATTTTAATAGGAACATGCATTTATCAACTAAGTGCTAATTGAGTAATTTTTTTTATTAATTACGCCTTAACCTCAAAGTGTTGTTGATATAGTAGAATTTAGGGTTATACAATTATTTGGTACATTTATGCAATATGAGTATGATGATATAATGATCATATATCATATGATCATATATATGAAAGTTTGTTGTTTTGGTATATATGAAATATATACCAAAACAACTCAATCGCCTATTGAAGCTGGCAATGGGATAAGACAGGGAGATTCAATGAGTCCTCTATAGTTCAACCTGATTCTGGATGAAATAATAAAGAAATAAGAACTACAACAGGATACCAAATGGGAGGAAAACAACGTAAAATAATCTGCTGTGCAGAAGACGCAATACTGCTCTCAAAGTTAAGATGATTTACAACGCATGTTGCACCAATTTAATATAATTTCCCCAAAAAGATAAAATGCATTGTTATAACAGCAAATTTACAAAGATGTAATTTGTAGCTGGAAGGTCAGATAATAGAACAAGTGATGGAGTTTAAGTATCTAGACATCACATTATCTAGTTACGGAAAGAAACAGAAGTGGAAGTCAAGTGAATAGAATAAACAGAGCCCCAAGTTGCCTGAATGAAACAATATGGAGAAATAAAAATATCGGGAAAGAAATGAAAGGCGGAATTTACAAAACAGTCATCAGATCAATAATGTAATACCCGACAGAAATACGACCTGATACAGACAGGACAAAAGGTGTTCGAAATAGCAAAGACGAAAACACTTAAAAATAGGATTGTAAAACAATATGGGGCAGAGCTACGACGTAGATGTAAGGTGGAGAACATCAAGGACTGGGTACGAAATATAAGAGTATAATAGAATGCTCATATAAGCCGATTGATAACAAATAGAGTCGTAAAGACGCCAAGAGATGGTTTCCTAATGGTAAGACGATCATAAGTAGGAATACCACGAAAACGATAACGACAACTTACTGGAGGTACATTGAAAACCAGAGTCATGTCTACATAAAAAGAAGAAGAAGATGAATTTTTTTTATATTATCTATTATTTATTTCCATGCCTTTAAAGTATGTTACAATCTTTATTGTCTCCCTACTATACCGAGGATACTTCAGTAAAATGTATCGCGGTTTCACGTCGGGAGAGATCGGCTCACTCAAAACAAATGATCCTAAATTAAGATAGTACTTTGCTACATTGATTTTAACGCTTGTCGTTCTTAGATTCAATGGTTTTCCAATAGAATTATAATGTCAAACATAGCTATGATAGAGGAGTTATGGAATCTGTTTAACAAAGACGCAAAGCACGTATTAGAACAATTTTCTGTGATTTATGAGCTACATTATGTATTAATCATATTTTATTTACTTCCTAACTTATACTACTCATGTCTTATTTGGAATGAGATATTTTTTATATCGTTTAAACTTGATCATAATATAAGCTTTAACAAATAATAAAAAGTTTTTTGGATATTAGCGTCGAAAAAAAACCTAAAAACTAAACATTTTAAAATGTGCGGTTTCAAAGCAATTTAAAGACTACGTTTTTACAGAATTGACAGTATTGTGATTATATATATAAATTTATATCGTAAGTTATATTAAAATGTATAATTTATAAACTTTTTTTAAATTACAATAAATTCAAATTTCAACCTCTGCCATTTTTTATTACATGCCCTTTATATTATTCCTCTCTTTGTCACTTTAATTTTGGGCATTTCCTTTTTGTGTACCTCCATTAAAAAAGTTAGTCCTTTTCGAGTAATCGTTAGGGATGTTTGCCATATCTTTTGGCCACTTGAATGAGAATCTTTACAGATGATATTATGCAGCTTGATACTAGGTAAGTATGCAGCTTGTTTACTAGGTATAGTCGCCTCATATTTCGGTGAGACTGTGTAAAAATATATTTATCTGTAATAAAAGCAGGCAATAAAAATTAAAATAAAAGTACACTATTGCCTACAAACGTATCAATGACAGATGTATAATAATACAAAGTTTTAATATTCTTATCGATATTTACATTCAGATATGTCTGGTATTATGTTTGAAAATATGGGCAGTCACCCAGTTAAAGTTTTCATCGAACTGTTGATCAGCCCACGTGAACCAAGAGCCAATGAAAACATCGGATATCGCTATTAAGACAAATCATAATGCGTTTTCTTGTATCGGCAGACTTATGCATCCTTCAAGTAAGATATAACAATATTCGCCTGAGCGAACGAAACCATAAAGTAGTTTATTAGAATAAATCACGCCCACTGATTTACACTTGGTAGGTCTTCTTCTTCTTTAAAGTGCCATCTCCGCGACGAAGGTTGGCAATCATCATGGCTATTCTGACCTTCGAGGCAGCTGCTTTGAACAATTACCTTGAGCTGCAACCAAACCACTCTCTCTGGGTCTTCAATCAGGAAAGGCGTCTTCTTCCTACGTTTCTCCTACCCTCTATTTTTCCTTGTATTATGAGTCTCAAGATGTTGAATCTTTCGCCTCGCATTACATATCCGAGATATTGCAATTTCCTTTCTTTTATTGTATTTTTTATTTCCGTCTCAATGCCCATTCTCCTTGCTGCAGGAGAGAGAATGAATTCTCTCTCTCCTGTTACCGCCAAAGAATGTAGAGCGTAGAAATATTTTAACTAATTTTAAACTGTTTGTCCTTGTTTTAGTGTAGTGTTTGTACAATTTTATGTTAACATTCATGTTCATTACATTCTACGCTTGCTGGATAGCCCATATTTGATGAAATGCCCCTGAAGATGCTATATTAAGCGAAAGTACTTGGGCAAGATTTGATTAAACTTGTGCTCGA